ATTATGTATTATATTATTACGAGAGAGAGAGAGAGAGAGAGAGAGAGAGAGAGAGAGAGAGAGAGAGAGAAACATAGTACTTAGTATTCCTATAATAATTAATATATCATAAAACTATAATGTATTACAGAAACATTGGGGATAGTATTTCGAACGCGCCCTTGTGATTTCTTTGAGGAAAAAGGGAGAACAGCAAAGTGCCGAGATATTACCGAGAGGTCACTGAGGCGCCACGAAAGCGTCGCCGATGGCTCCACTGTCTCAACGCAGGAGGTTCCTTCTCTCGGCGAGATGAGTCACGCGCGTCGTCGAGGATACGACGTCAAGGAAGTACCCAGGTACCGATGACACCGATGACACCGATGTATATATCAGTGAAGTGTCACTGCCAAGACGTCATGGAAGCGTCAGCAACGCCGCACAGCGCGACGCCGAGGACCTCGCTCTCGCACGCCTCGCTGTGTGTCTCCGTTCCGTCTCGTTTCCGATTCTGTTCTGTTTCACACGCACGATCTCCGGGATGAGGACGATACTGATACTCAGAACGATTACGATGGGACACTCGCCGAGATACTCTACGTTCGCGAGTACCGTAGGGATCGGGAACGACCTGATGGAATAACGTTGCTTTGCGTTGCACGCGCGACACCAGGAGTGGCCATTTTAAAGCCAAGGCCTCACTTGACGCTTCGGCGTTTCGCCTCGTCTCCACTCCACTCCACTTGCCTCCCTCAGGCAGGCATGACCGTGCGATCTTCTGATACCGCATGCGCATGTCGGACTGGACCGTGTGAGCGTCGCTTCACAGGGGTCAATTCTGTGTCTTGAAACGAGGTGAAAATTACAAAAGCGAGCGATTCTCTTAGGTGTTGACCAATGAAATTATCAATATTCTAATGAATTTGCTCACTTTTTTTTGTAATTTTCACTTTATTTTATAGTAAATAGTTGCGCTTCTCAGAGCATACCGCTTCTCTTTCCTCACTATAATGTAAGATTTGTCATCCATAAATGAGCCTTGTTTATGTTTTTTTTTTAATTATTTTCTTTTCTTTTTTATAGATACTGTAGATACGCTTGAATATGTTACATCATTTTTGATATGCAGGTGATAAAGATACAGTTGTGTGATTAAAGGAACAGATCTACAGATTTGAAATTAAAATGTCTTTTCGTAAGTTATATAATATAAGTGTTATTTATAATAAATATACGTATATATCAATATATATAAAATA